AATAATATATCTTCTCTGCTGTAACTGGATTCTGCCCCTTGGTTGATAACATTCTCTATATCTGAAATGGATATGAGATCCAAGCGATTGGCACGCATATGCTGACCAAATAAAGAATTGAATGCTTCGATTCTGCATTTTGACGGAAAATATTAAACATTAGAAGGTAGAACTGATGTCGCATAAATAAAACTACCACGGAGGAGTCAAGTGCTCTGTGAGTCACCTTTCAGGTGTGAGACCGGTACCAGATTGGGCTGCCGAAGTCTGATCAACTTCCATAGATTCAGCAGTGGAGCTTTAAAGAAGAAAAGGTTCGAGTCAATTTATGACCAAATAAAAGCAAGCGAAAGTAGAATAGTTCACTATAATGCTAGAAGGATGCTGAATTAGATTCAGATATCGAAAGTAGAGAAAAATGGCCTCTCATAAACAAACAAATATAATAATCAATATTAAAAGATACTTTCAAAGTTCATTTAGTACACCTAGCTTTCCCAGACAGTTTCACAACCACTTACTTTCTTCTATTTTTAGGACCTCGACTAGGCTCATCATTTTCACCAGGATGCTGCTCAGCCCTGCGTTTCCTCTCCGTTTCTCTATCCCTCTCTTGCTCGCGCTCCTCCATTTCTGTTAGTTCTTTGTGATATATTGCAAAGTTAAGAACCTTCAAAGCAGCTTCAACATCAGACTTTGAAACCTGCAAATAGAGGTGGAAACTCAATCTTGAAGAGTAATTTCGTGAACACATAACAGAAAGAGGAAAAAGTCGTCAGCAGGGAGGCCAAGGATCATAGAATAAAGCCCAGGAGATCGAAATGACATGGCCCGTGGGCATGTTCTCATTTTCTTCCAAATTTTACCCCAATGAGACAGCATATCTGGAGATGGGATAGAGAATTGGCATGCATTTCATGGTCTTGTAAATAATTCGGAAAACGAATAATGTTCCCCGAATTCAGTACCTGTCTGCTCAACTTCAGTTTGGCATGAGCCGTTGAGAGACGTATTATGGTTTCCAAAGTTCTAGCAGTGATAGGAAGGGTTCCACCAGTCTGCACAAAGCCAGTATCACATCAACTATAAATTAAAAACAAGTTGTACAGTTAGCCTTCAGCTAAATGGCAACTTTTAGTGCTAACCATGGCATTTGAACCAGCGTTTCTGAGCTCAGCATAAGCTGTCGCAATGTGGTCAGATGCCTGTGAACAAAACCGCTAGTGTTAGATGGTATGGATTGAAGAGAAGAAAAAGATCTACTGTTAACAAAAAAAAATCAGAGGCCAGAAGAACCCTTCGGCTGCGGATGGCAACAGATATAGCGGACTAAAATTTCATAAGTAACCAGATTAATTGAGAAAACAGCACGTGCACCTCACCTCATCTGTAAGTTCAGGTTGAATCCTATGCTTAGCATAATGAATATACTTTTTAAGAAACTTGATTGTGAGCACATCACGCTTGCGGCTTCTGTCTGTTTTTTTCCCATGTAACATCCGGTTATATTTGACAAAGACAGCTGAGTCAGCGTCAGCGTCATCTTCTCTTCCATATCTTGAGACACCATCAAATGCTGCCTCACCTGCATCAGTAAATTAGCTCAAATGAAATTTTTTTCCCAGGAAATATATCTGTAACATTTGAAAACCATTCGTCTACCTCCATCAATGGCAGAACGGTATCGATGCATACGCAAGACGTGCTCTGAGATATGACGATCAATATCAGGATCCATTTGATCCAAGACGATAAACAGAAGATCAAATCGGGAAAGCAAGGAGTCTGGGAGTCCAATATTTTTTGTTGGTGTCAATGATCGGTCATACTGCAGGAAGTCAGTAAAAGACCAAAGCTTCAGCTTGAATGAGCAAATTTTTTCCCATAAAATTGCGCATCAAATTACATGAGTGCCACTTACAGTTCCATATATGGGATTTGCAGCAGCCACCACACTGCATCGAGCGTTAAGAGACGCATGGATACCAGCTTTGGCGATAGTTACGGTTTGCTGTTCCATAACTTCATGTATAGCAACCCGATCTTGATCATTCATCTTGTCAAACTCATCAATGCAGACAACACCTCGATCAGCAAGAACCATCGCTCCAGCTTCCAGCCTTCTTTCCCCTGATGACAAGCAATTGTTATTTTCCTTAATTGACATGCAATGGTAAAATGCTACATATCCCATGAAGAATGCTTCACCTGTTTCTTGATCAGACGTAACTGCTGCTGTTAAACCAACCCCAGAAGAACCCCGACCTGTAGTAGATATAGCCAAGGGAGCAATATTCATAATTGCCCTTAAGAGTTGAGACTTGGCAACAGACGGGTCGCCAACCATCATCATGTTAATGTCACTGAAAGGAGAGAGAGAGCGAAGATGGCAATATGATTAATTCCATATAAAATCAATTTTGCAAGAGAGAAAGTCCATGTGGACAAACAAATATAGATAACAATGCACTGAACTTAAGCACTCAGTAATGCCATCAAGGAGCAAAACCGAAGACAAAAACAATGTGAAGAGAAACAACTAACCCTCGCAAATGGGTACCATTCTTTAAGTTCTTTTCAACTCCACCAAGCATCAATAAAATCACTGCTTTCTTTATCCAGGAATGCCCATAAATAGAAGGTGCAAGTGAATTGCCCAGTAGGTCAAATGCATCATCTCTTTCGGCAATCTTCTTTATATTTTTCAGATCTTCAGCACTGTAGATTGGTGCATTAGCCTCTTTGTTAAGAAGAGAGACATTGTTGGCTATGAGCACAGTCCTGTATGATATCAATCAGTCAAAATTTTGAGAATGTGAAGCTAACAATACCGTAAAAGAACAAACAGGAGCTACCTGAATACTCCATTCACACTGCCTTTAGTTTTCCCTGGAAGGGCCTTGTATATCCCCACAATAGCCACACGGTCCCCAGGTTTGCAAGAGTCAACGAGGTCATCCTCTACTATCACATCTACTGTTCTTGGAAGCTGACCGGGTGCAGAATTCTCAGGAACTTCTTGCATGGATAAGGTTTGATGATCCTTATATTTGCACAGTCCATACTCAGTCACCAGTAAGTTGCCAGATTCATCCTATGATAAAACCGCAATCAGGAAAGTTCATCTTATAATGATTAAATATAATGCTAGAGGCCAAAGGCAGCTTGAGATTACTCTTGTGGGATAAACAGAGCCGGTGGGCAAACCCATATTGGAAGTAATGTCACGATATTCACGAGTCGTGAATTTTTTCGTAGTGGGGCAGAAGTGAACACTTTTAACAACCTTCGGCCTTACAAGCGAACCTATAAATAAGCCAATAACTTAGACTAGAGCATATTTACCATTTAAATAATAATCCACCAGAATATCATGTTTGCATCCTCCTCACTCAGCACAATGAAATAATTTGTGACTCAAGCAACAGGTCGAAATTTATTATTCTTCAGAAGAACTTGTATTAGACCGAATAAGAGCCAAATGAGTCAAACTAATTTTCTGAAAGAAAATAAAAAAGTTAAAAAAGTTCAAACGTCTTTCACGTCATGATAGGTGCAAGGTCAAAGGTTTAAATCCTAGAACGAAATGGGCCTATATAGCATGGCAACTAAAAAGAAACAGCAATCGACCCCAAAAAATAACATGTTGACAAATCACCACTCAGCCATAAGGGAAAAATAAAGATTTTCTTGGATCTTAACTGGAGTTTAAATTGCTTGACCATGGTTGTCACAAAATGCAAAGTTCCGGTCATTGATTGAAGAGTAGGGGGAAAAAAGGCGTACATTTAGTGACAATGCCCTCAACGCAGACCATAGAACCTATGAACTCAGATAAAAGCTCCCTTGGGGTGACACGACGGGAAACAAAGGGGCCTTCAAATCCTACAAGCACTTGTTCTCCTTCCTTCAAATACTTGGGGTCAATAGCACGAGCAGCATCCGTCACTGCATCACAGAATGATTGTATGTACTCACTAGGGTTTCTGAGAATCCTGAATCAAGGGAAGGACTAATATATTAGTTAGACTTGAAGAGCATATACTCACGCAGTTCGTGTGTGTGTGTGTGTGTGTTAATAATGCCCAAAATAAGAAGCCTAATAGACACTATCCATTTAGACGTATCAAATCCCTATTCATATTGGTCTTTCATCCCCGACCCACCTGTACTCCATGAAATTACCAGGTCAAGCAAGATGAGAAAGAAGTTAAGCATTAAGTCACATAATGAAAATGGAATAACAATAATAAGACTCGATCTCAGTAGAACTCCATATTTCCGATAAAGCATAAACAAGTTAATTGTCCCCAAAAAAATAACCAGGAGCTTTGAGCGAAAATTCAGTTTAATTACATATACCCTATCCAATTTCTATCACTTTCTAGGGAACTAAACGAGTAACTGACCTATTACCCAAATCACGAAAGCTATGAAGATCGGAGATATTGACGATAAGGCGACGACGCTTGTGGTTGATCATTGCTTTGATCTCGTCCATGTATATCCCTTTCCCAACCTGGCCTCGTGAAAAATAACCCCTTCTTAGCAGCGAAAATTGCAGAAACACGGAAACACACAGTTATTATTAAAAAAAAAAAAAAAAAAAGCAATATACGCACATCCTGATCCAGGAAATCGGCGAATTCTCGTCTGTGAGCTGCCCTAACTTCTTCGCTAACATCCATTTCTCGCCTTCTGCTTGACTCCAACTCCGAACGAGAATGAAAGTGAGATGGAAGATGGCCCCTTTTTTCCTATCGGAGCTTTCTTTTGGCGGGAAAACGGGGGCCCTTTCCCCGCGTTGTGGCGGGAAAAAAGTCTCGCTCCGTTTTTTTTTATTGAAATATTTTTTTTAATTTTTAAATCCGAGAATGGCAATACCGTAAATTTTCATTTTTGAAAAAACCACTTTGCATTTCTTTTACCGATTTACCCTCGCCGGTACCTACAGCCTACGGGCCAAATGGAACCCCCATTCTGGCGCAAGACGACGGCGACACAGTATGTATACCTAGACGGCGGAGAAGCCACAAAACCCTCGGCCAACTTTTCTCTTTCACGCGCAGGCTTTGATGTCGCTCACTTCTTCTGGGCAACTCTTCTAGTAATTTTCTCGCCTCACAATTTGATGCATAAAAAGTATGCAGGAATGTCAAGCGTCGCAGTCGTTTGGTTTCACTTTCAGCTTTGAATTCAGTGAACAGGTGCACAGTTTATTTAATTCTCTTCCGATGATTATATATTGTTTTGGGATTAACGTCTCTTCTTGCTGTTTAAGATTGTGATTGCAAATCCCCTGCTACATTTATCTTACTTCATGCCTTTCGTTTTCTCTGTTTTATCTATCTAAACATTATCAATGATAATTTGGAATCAGAATAACGTCTCATCTTCGTCTCGGAATTGGGTACGTGTTTTGCTGACGCACTGATGAACAATTTTCAAGGATAACCATAGTTAATGATGGTAATAACAATTTTTACTAGTTTATTCTTTTTTAAATTAAAAGGGCGGTAGGGCCTGAAGTTATAAGTGGGATCCGTGAACTCCCACCTACAAGAGCGTCCACTAGGCTACGGGCCCTTTGGTTTTTACCAGATTGTTGTGATTAGCACATTTTCTTCTGTTCTGATTGCTTGGCGGTGATAGTTCTCTGGTTGTGTTTCTTTTCCCTGAATCTTCTTGGATTGAATCATTTCTTGTTGCGACATTAGTCTGATGAAATCTCTTCTTTCTAACCACGTTACCAAGCTCTTTTGATTGATTAAGAGCCGAGCATAATTTGTTTTTTTTTTATTGCTTACATACAATAGCCCAAGAATATGGATATTGATGGGGATGATGCTGATGGCCCGCAAATACTTGAACGTGTGTATCATCTCTTGAGCGACAGAAAGAAAGATTGTGGGACTCACCAAAAGACGCAATGGGAGAAGAAGCACTTGTTGAGCTTGCGAGGGCCAAGTGTTTGCAGAGAGAATGAAAGCCAGCAGCGCTGAAAACAGATCATCTGATTGTTTCATTTCCGGGTGTCTATCCCTGGGCTGATTGATAGTGTGTTTGAGGATGCCTACGTGATGGCAATGGACAGATATAATAATGCAACTGGGAGGAAAGTATCCATTTCTTGGACGAAGAAGAATGTTGGCTAGGTTGGCGGAACCTGGATCATATTAGACCTGTAACATGTAGGCTGGGGGTTGCTGGGTGCTGATTTACCTTCTTCTGATAGTTTTTTATTTTTTTATTTGGGTGTTTATATCGACAATTTATTGTGACGAATCAGGTCGAATTATTCTGCACAATCTTTTATTTATATATCCACATGTATATGTTACACATGCGTACAGATTTTGTACACAATCATCACAGATAGTGAAATTATCTGTTTTGAGGGATGTATCCTCCGTTTGAATCAAGCAGCGATAAATATGAATTAATTGAGTTTTTCATGATGATCTGAAGTATCCCGTAAAAAAATTGATAGATTTTGCACCCAGGAACAATATAAATTGATTGATCACAAGTACGTAATGATAGACACGCAACACTAATGATAACAGGAACACAGTAAAATATGAATCCTCTCGGCCCCCGGAAAAACAAAGAATTTTCAGTGCAATTTGAAGTGTCATATGGTATCTAAAAGCAACAAAAGCGTATTGCACAAACACAACTCTGTTTTTCCCCGTATAAGTGCTTCCTCAATCAAGTTCAAGCTTCATAACATCCTCAATTTAAAATGTGAGGGCACGCCAAAAGGAAGATCCTACGACTCTTTCAATCTTCTACATAAATTCAGAACCAACTGAAAATGACATCAATTAGGCCAAGCGTTTTATTCATAAGTTATTACACCAAAATGGTCCTCACTAACACAGCAGAACTATGGGTTTTCCTTTTTGATAATGACGGTCTAAATATTCAGAGAAGCAGCCTCACAAATGAACAAAGAACAAAATCTCAATCAATTTATATGCAAGTGTGGACAAGCTGAACAACTCATGGCTTGAAAGCAGAGAAGGCCACGACAGAATTGTGGCCACCAAATCCAAATGAATTTGAAATACCTGAAATAAAATAAATCGCCATTAGATTTACAAATACAGACCTTGATCCTTGGAAAAAGGAAGTAGAAAATTAACAATTTAGTCCTCTTTAGTTTTCAGTCCTAAAAATTCAACAAATGATGATTTAGTCTCCAGAAATAACAGAAGAACGAATGAATAACGAATTTATGATTTTTAGGAATTAACTTGCATAACTAATTTTCAAGGACCTAAGCCAAAGCGGCTCAAACTTAGACTAAATTATCAGTTCAGTATACAAGAAAATATCAGGGTAGTAAAAGATTTGGAAGCTTACCAACATTAATTTCATGTTGCTGCTTTACATTTGCAACTGTATCAAAATCAACTGAAGGCTCAGGGTTCTGCACTCAAGAACAAACCCATATTATAACTGCTTCACTAACACAAACCATTTGACTGAGGAAATAAAAGTATAAAACAGCATAATTTTGTAGCTTTCACACACACACGAGATTAAATGAAAAGATCTCATATTTTGATTACTATCTGCAAGAGTGACCATAAGATTTTGAAATTGAAATAATTTCCACACAGTCCATCCTGTCCTCGCCAATTACCCAGAAAAAGAAAAGCAACGCCCATGCACAAGCCATTTGACACCTTGGTATTATGATAGCCATAGGAACAACACAAACTTCATATTCACATATTACTGGATCAAATAAAATGCGTGAAACACCCCCCCCCCCAAAAAAAAAAACAGTTGCTCATTACAGTTTGACAGATTTCATGTAAATTAGCACCATATAATTGCAATGAGTTCTCGTGAGAATGAAAATTTATGTAGACTAGTAATTTCCAGATACCAAATTGTCTAATGAACTCCTCAGGAACAAAAACTTCGCTAATGCATTCACTTCCTAGATAAAAGTTCCCACTACCATGAATAAAAGAAAAAAGGAAAATTCTGAGACTGGCAAGATAATGATATGTCATTATGAGAACACATGCTCTATCTGTTGGCCCTAACAACACACAATCATAACCATTGAAAAAAGCATCTAAGTTAAAACATACAAATTGATTGATCGAAGGATGTAGCCATCCAGTTGTTATAGCTTTCACTGTGGCAATGGCTTCCAAACCCCCAGCTGCACCAAGGCAGTGCCCTATCATTGACTGATACAAAAAGAATATAGTCATCAGTATATGGGCAGGAAATTAGTCAAATATAACCAGCAATAATCTGAAAGACAAATTTTCACCAGCAAGATCTAAAGAGTGGGATAATACCTTGGTGGCATTAATTTTGATCTCTGATGTGTTCTTGAAAACCTTTTTGATAGCATTAATCTCTGCCAGGTCACCAGCAAGAGTAGAAGTTGCATGAGCATTTATGTAGTTGACCTGGAGGGGGGAAAAAAAGAGAAATCAAATAGCATGCTTTTAGTTGGCTAATTTACAGTATTAAAAAATGAAAAATAAAAGTATAAACAGGCGTGTATTGTATATATATCAGATAGTAGGATTAATCTCAGGAACTCTCAGTCTGAACTTAGACATTAATAGCAGTTCCTATAAGTGAATTCTAATTTATTATATAGTCTGAACAGAAGTAAAGAAAAGCCTTCATATGGTATGATAGACTTTCTAAAATTGACTAGTCAGGCACACGCATCCTCAAGTAATGGCTCATATCAGTTAGCATAGTTTCCTAAACTTGACTGAATAAACCTGATTGTGACTTCGGTTTTAAGTACTCTGTTTTTTAAGAGGTTCTTTCTTTCTAGGCAAACAGACCATTAAATCAAAGACAAATTTACTTTTATGTCTGCAACGTCAGACTGACTAATTAACATCAGGCACTCAAGAAAAGAAACATGCATTGGGATTGGGAAAAAAAAAAAAAACCTGAAGCCATTCAACAAGGTCAGATTGAGATACACCAAGCATCTTACAAAATCAGATCAGATTGAGATCATGTCTAAATTTATTTGGCTTCAACTTTTCTCCATATGTCTATTGTTCAAATAGTTTCAAGCTTGAGGGTGAGCACAAAAGAACAGCACCCATTTCTCAAGTGCATGCACACTCACACATCTGACATTAAAAAAAATGGTCATACAGCCATCATGACAAGATTCAAACGATTTTTACACCTTTGGGGTAGAAAAAACCTTTGTCCTGACACAAATTGGTTTATTAAGTGGTGAACCCAAAGGTTTTACTTCAGAAAGGTGGGTAAAAACTAGGCTTTACAATTACCGCACTTCGAATAATCAAAGGTTATTAACAATAGTTTCCAAATAATAGAACATTAACAAAATTTCCCCAGTTTCCGAGTCAAAGGGTTCAAGGGTCAATGCTTGTTGGACATTAGCACTTACATGTCAGGCAACCAAGTAGACATTAAAAAATCCCTAACCAAGTTGTTTTACTTTATATATTGAAAATCATTGTCAATGATCACAGCAATCCCACAAAACTCACAAATAAAGGAAACAACAAGAATAGAAGAAAGAGAAGTTAACATAATCTCATACTTTCAATGCCAAATAAAATTAATGTCTGACTCAGCAAATCTTCACCCAAAGGAACAAGGCTTGTCCGGGAAATCTATTCTGAAAATGCAATGGACCAACACATTCTAGACAGCTAAACCTAATCTCTAGGGAGACCAAAGAACCAAGAGAGGGTTAAAATTTTTAACCCTGGGATGCATTGAAGTGAGTTGCAGTATGCTAAAGAGCTAAAGACTAAGCAGCAGGGTACGAGTCAATAATCAAAGTAAAACATATTGAACTGTGCACGCATTTTGGTGAACGACATATCTAAAAAGTAGGCACCGAGCATACCTTCCAATGTGAATTTTAATCATGTAACTTTGCCTATATCAGAAGAACGCACATGGACCTGACTTGAGTAGAAACTACGGATATGTCATGTCATTTTTATGTGCATTAATTCATCGTACGTCCCACCCAAGGTCCGCTTACTTCTTGTTACTAGTAAAACATGTTCTAGTATTACTAGCCCCCCCCCCCCCTTCTGTTTTCAATGTTAGCATAACAGTTATGAGTTCTTGGCATCATTTGCTTTACCATTCAACATCCAGCACAGCACACCTAAACCACACATATAACATGCATAAAAAATTCTGATTTATTCAATTGGATCAGTATAACAGGCGCCTGACTCTCCAGTGCAGTAATTTGGAACCTCCTTGTTAGCAAATCTTGGAGGCCTACTCTATATTATATTACACAGCAACATCTTTCTAAAAAAAAAAAAATCTAGTGTCATTTATATCGTACCATGATAGCATTCATGGTCATATTATTAAAAACCAATAAAATGCATCCAATAAGCATGAAGAGTGGTAGAAATGCAAAGCAAGTTAACTAAAGAGCCAATGGAGAGAGCAAAACAATGTGATAAAAAGAATTTAAGCAAATAGCCTTTACGCAAAGAAAGACAAACCAGTGTTTAAGTGATCATTATTCAGCATCTCTTTCTTACCATCGAAAAAAGTAAAAATAAAATTAAAAAGAGGTATAAGGAAAAAAGGGATAATACCTCCTCAGGTGAAACACCAGCATCTTCCAGGCTACTCTGGATACATGAAGATACACCAAGTCCATCGGCTCTAGGATCAGTCATATGATAAGCATCACAGTTAACAGCACCTCCCAAATATTCAGCAATAATTGGTGCACCACGCTTCATTGCATGTTCCAGACTCTCCATTACCTGTCAAAACAAATTTTACCCATGAAGACTCAGACATTAGCTAGTAGAGCAGCATAACCACACTAGAAGACCATTTTTCACAAGGTTACCGCATGCACTTAGTCCCATGAAGGCTAGAGTTATTTTGCTTAGGAAGCATACAAGCCAATAGAATTGGCCATTAACACTAACCTTGACAGATGATAAGTTTCACTTTACCAGGAAAGCATGACTTCGTTGCCTATCCATATCAAATACAGATTTCCTCATAGTTCAGCCTTACTATACCAGAAGGTCACAATACTCAATGGTCTAAATCAATTTTCTATATGATCAATCAAAGCAAACAATAAACACCGATACATAAATTTGATGCTCTGCACATAATTAGAATTCTGCATAAGAATAAAAGCTAGCTTACCAATATTCCAGCACCTTCACCCATTACAAAGCCATCTCGTTCTTTGTCCCAGGGCCTTGAAGCAGTTTTCGGGTCATCATTTCTCTGGGATAGAGCCCTGCATGCAACAAAACCCCCCAAC